CCCCCCCCCCCCCCCCCCAGGCTTAGAGGAAGTGGGTTAAATAATACTAGACGTTATTCAACTTATCTCATGGAGGGGCCACGGAGATCAGTGATATCCATATCCCATGCATTGTATTTTCTAAAACGAATCGATAAATTCAATGCAATATGGCAACCTTGAGGCATTCTGTACACCAACGTCCCCCAGAACTGTAACTTCCTGCTTCTGTGATTCACTTAAAATCTTTCCCAGCAGTCTGCAGACACAAAAAAAACATTTTAAGCATCTCCTGCAATATAAATGTCATTTTTGGTGAGATCTTCCCTAAGGGTGAACTATTTCTAAAGGGATATTGACACTGCAACTTTCCTCATTAGAACACTGAAAGTGCACCAGGAGTTTGCAAAGGACCTGACCCTTCCATTCAGGAATCAGTCTGGAAAGGACATGGCAAAACAAACAGGTTTTTATTCAGAAGGTAGAAATGTGTTCAAATCCTTGCAATCTACCTTGGATTGGATTGTTTTTCCTCAACAAAAGTGGAGTTACTCTTCATGAATGCAATGGACAGGTGGCCAGAAGGAACAGAAACCAATGCCTTCTGAATTCTTTTCCCCCAAGTTCTACATAATTGATGCACAACAACAGAAAATAGCTTTGTATTTAATCTGTGCTGGGCCATAATCTGGACCATAATTTTATTTTCAGTAACTTGTGGAGAAATATGGAGAGTGCAGTAACCCACAGGAACCACCTGTCACCTTTTTCTGGACTGCCTATGATAAACTTAAATCTGACTAGATGGTCTTTGACCTCTGCGTGGCCTTAATAAATAAGCCTGGTTATGATAAATATTGTATTTATTATATAACATTGTATTTTCCATGTGTTTTGTTATATTGCTTTTTAGAGTAGAAAGTGAATGTATTACAAGGTCACCTCTCTTGTTTCCAGGGGAGTTTCCCTACTTACAGAATAAGATGAGAGCGGTGCTGCGGGTGGAGGTGGAGGCTGTAAGATTTCTCAAAGAAGAACCCCACAAGCTGGACAGCTTACTAAAGAGGATCCGAAACATGACTGATGCCCTTTCATCCTTAAGAAGGTGACACCTACTCACCGATTGTCTGTATGCAGTAAACCTATTATCCGGCATTCAAGTAACCAGCAAAAAAAATCAAGGGCATAACATGTCCTCTATTTTTTTTTTTTGTGCCAGTGGCTTGATGCACACTAAAAAATTGGCGGTTGCTTGGTGCACACCCAAAATTTGTTCAGTGGGCAGGGTTTCAATAGCCAGCCTGCTATTGGCTATTTCAAATTGCAATAGCAGGCTGGCCAACTGAGCATAGAAGCGGACCTGAAAATGATCTTTCTCAAGTCCGCTCCTCTGCTCAGTGCGTGGGGGTTCAATAGCCAGCCTGCTACTGGCTGTTTTAGGTTGCTATTATAATGGACCTAGGTTGCTTGAGAGTTACCATTAACTCTCAAGCAACCAGAAACTACTGTTATCCGGCATCTACTGATCCCAATGGGTGCCGGATAACTGGGAGTTTACTGTATTTGTAATGGTATTCTTCAAAATGATGCTCTTAACAAGGTCCAGATATAGGGACAGGTTAGTAAGACCAGGCTTGCCGAGACGTTTGACTCTGCTTTGCCTCTGCTAGGGATCAGTATTGCCACTCACTGAAGACTAATTACTGTAGTCAGTTTATCAAGGCCCTGGAGTTATACCTCGTTTTATACCTTTAAAATGTAGCAGTTAGGAAGGTTGCAAGACTTCAGACACCAATACAAATGGTACCCTAGTGTCTAATCAATCTTACATCTCATTATGGCATTATTTAGTTAACAATAGTTAAGATATCAGTTGACGTATTTATTAAAAATAATATGGTACAACTAAAGTATAAAGTAGGAACTGACTTCCTTTTCTTTTATGGTTCCCCCTAGGCAAGTTAGTGATGGACCCTCTAAAGTTGTTGACTTCAATCAGAATAACCAGTTTATCATCACGGAGAAAGTTACAGAAACAGAGATGACCCGACACAGAGAACCAAAAAGTCATGCATACCTTCTGCTAACACAATCCGAAAACGTGGTGGAATCACCGACAGTATCTGTAAAGTCAGAGGTGGTGCCACTGTCAGCTGGGGTCAAAGTTCATCAAGTACAAAGCTCCCCTGTCCATATTCATCAATCTCAACACTCTTCAGCACTGGTTAACCATCTTCATAACTCCATTAATCAGACTGGTCATGTGACAGAAGTATCAGCTAGCCATCATTCAACAAGTTTACCAGCCACTGCTGCTCAAGAGCAAACCTCAGCTGTACAACCCACTCAGCATAATGGATCCTCTGGGCAGAGCCTATTTATTGATGAAATTCAGCATGTGGCCTATAGGAATCGAGCTGTCTCCATAGAGGTACTAAGTCCTCATTAGCTGCATTTTTATGTGGTTTAATGGAAGCCTGTGCTTTGCCCATGCAGGGCAAATCAACAATTTTACTTAGTGCCTGGCCCCCTTCCCTGATAGGCTTACCTTACCTTCACTGTCCTACCACTCTATATGCTGCTGGAGGAGAGGAAAATTACCATATACGTGTGGGTATGGTGATCATGTGACACACTTCCCTTTACATATGACAACAATGATGCGTTAAGATTGGCCCCTCATTGCCACATTGGGACAGAGAGAGAGTGCTTAGCCCTGTGTAAGTTAAGATTGGGAACAAAATGGAGGTTACATAGGGATTTATCTCCTTACTTCTGGTGGTGAACTAATGGGGGGAGCGATGGGAAGGCAAGTGTTAGATGATATGAGGGCTGGTTTTAAAGTGAACATGTTGTTTTCTACCCTGTGTGGGCAAAGCATACGTTTACTTCAAGCAAGAAATCTACTAGGCACTACTAATGCCTCTATCACTAGACATGTGGAGAAGTTTGCATTTTGCCCCTAGTTTTAGCTACACCTCCCTCTCAGGTTGTCATAACTTAAAGGTTTGAGCCAGGAATGTAATTACCCGCCTCCCTGATTGGTCAGGAAGCCAGGCTGCCTAGGAACAAGTGAAGCTGGCTTCCTAACCAATCAGGGAGGCGGGTCATGACGTGACATCCAGCTTCCTGATCGGCCAGGAGGCCGGCTTCACTTGTTGCTAGGCAGCCTGGCTTCCTGACCAATCAGGAAGCCGGACGGCACCTCCTGACCCGCTGCCCAGCTTCATGATTGGTCAAGAAGCCAGGGAGCCTCCGCAAGTGAAGCCGGTGTTTTTTCGATAGAACACCGGCTTCCTAGGCAATCAGGAAGCCGAGTGATGGTACATGATCCGCCGCCCGACTTCCTGATAATCGGGGCACTGGTATCGGTACTCGTACTCTATACCGAAAAACAGGATCGGTGCATCCCTTTTTTAAACATTAATTTTCATATGATTCCCATTGTGTTTCTTGGAACTAGTTACAAATATTTGAGAATGATTTAGCTAAGTATTTTGCTTGCATTTCTTTACTTCCTACAGGAAGCAGAGAGAAAGTTTGAAGAGAAAAGACAAAATCTGGATCATTATAATGGAAAAGAGTTTGAAAAGATGTTAGAAGAGGCACAGGCCAATATCATGAAGTCCATCCCCAGTCTAGAGATACCAGATCAGCCTCCAAAATTGGACAACGCAGAGAAATTAGAAGTCATTGGTAAGAGTTGATGGACCTCTGGATACTTTCCATTCTCTACTTGTAATTCCTGAGTGTGCATTGTTATGAACTGTATTGATATGCACCATCCTTATCCCACGGTTCACAAACACGAGTCCTGAGAGCAGTCCAAGTGTTGAGCTGAACTCCGGCTAAATGAAAAATAAAAGTTGATTGGCTGGTAAAAGTTCAAATAAAAAAGAGGCTGTTCCTGTAAAACCTTCAATCTGATTATGTCCCCTACAGTACTTTTTCACCACAAAATGTCCTCAGTCTTCCAGGCTGAATGATGGCCAGTGTCATTCAATCTACTTTCTGTGAGCTCCAGCTGTCACTGCCCTGATCGGTGCTCACATGTCTTTATTTGAGAGCCAGTCAGGTAAAGAGGAAGGATCGCCCATAGCCACCACAGGAGGAAGGACCCATGATGTCATAGGGATTTTGCTTTAACTAGACTTTACAAAGGCTGTTAATCAACACACTCTGTTCATCAAGTGTCGTATATCATTGGGGCATTAGAATTGTGTATATATTATATACCTTTATATTTAAACATTTGGTATAGTAAACTTTTTTACACTGCATATATTTTGCCGATAACATTTTATGTGTGTTTGCTCTAGAGAGTAGCAAAGAAGTTGAACAAGAAAGTGAGAAAATAATCAAGTCACCTCCTCCGCCCCCTCCTCGACGTATATTCCCGCATGGGACTGGATTTGGCACCACATGGAGTGCAGAATGGAGAGAAAGCAAGGTAAAGGTGTGGGAATTGTAAATGATCAGACACACTACATTGAAGATGTGCAAAGTGCAGTAGCTGGCATCAGATCACAGTGTACTGCACTCAGTTGAACAGCAGATTCAGGGACATTTTTATAAGGAGGTGAAAGTCAGGAGCATTCCCGTAGCCAGGGTCATCTTCAACAGCCATTCACCTACATTTCTCTGTGCATATACGAAGTTTGCTGGCAGCAGGCACAGAGGATAAAATCTGCCATAAGCACAAATGTGATGGAGGGCGGCCCATCTTCCACAACAGTGGTGAATCAGTGATTAGTCATCTAAAAATAGTAAATGTTTGAAATGATTAGGACTGATATATGTAAAATTAGCAGTCCAAGGCTTGTATTGCTGTGCCAATACAGGGCCATCACATCTTCCTTCCACATGGCACTTTGCTTGCATCTTCTTATCAGTCCTTGCATTTTCCTTGGTCTCCATTGGGAGGACTGTTCTGGATATCATTTTGGGTTCACAGATTAATGGCTGGATTTGCTCTTAATAGTGTAAATGGCACAAACATGCCTTACTAATCACAGGAAAAGCTCCCAATTGTAAGAGCTTCTATTCATTTATCTGTAAGAAATAAGTGAAGGCAACTGGACTTGCTGTATTTTTCATGAAGACGTTTCACTGGTCATCGGACCGGCTTTCTCAATTCTGAATTCAGCTCATCTTCAAGAAAAATACAGCAAGTCCAGTTGCCTTGACTTATTTTTTACAGATATACCATGACCTGGATGAATGAGAACCTTCATAGTTCTATCAATTTGCATATTCAGCTAAAGAATAATTGTCAAACGTTTTCTTATAAGAGAGACAGTGACGCTAGGAAGTGAAGTTAAAGTTTTACAAACAGAATGTATTGCTAAGGATAACAGGTGTTTTTTTGTAACATCCCTCAGTGTTGGTCTTGTGTCCTGCAGTTATGTCTTCCAGTGCGGGGGTCTTGGGTTACTTCAACATCAGAGACACTGGGGTTATTTACTAAAATAGTAAATTAGCAAATTGGCTGTTCACTTTTGCAAGCTTGGTGAATGAGTGGAAGTTCTGTTGACTTCCATCATGTACAAGCAGAAATACTTTCTTTGCACATGATTGCATTTTTTTTTTGCAAAGTGAGTTTTCCCCACATGAACTAAGCTAAGGGAACCTTCACTAGGAAAGTGAACAGTCTATTTGCCCTTAGTAAATCAACTCCACTGGCTGCATCACATTCTATGCTCTCCCTGTGCTTGCTGGGTTTTTGCCAAAATTATCTTTTGTTCAGACTGCAAGTTCGTAAAAAGGCAAGCAGAGAGCAAAGGGTTATCCACCAGTATGGCCCGTGGTTTCCCTGCAGCTAACCTTCTGCACTGTGCCTCTGTGTGGAGCTGGTCATCTTGGTAGAAGTAGGTCTTTGCTTCCTTATGTCAGTGCTACTCCCCATCCCTTTCCCAACCCCAATTACTGGTAATCAGATGAGTGATAAGGTAATGATCATGAACCCGCAGGAGAGGTTAAAAAGGACAGAATACAAGAAGCTAAAGCAAGGAGATCCTTGCACTGTAAGTCCTCCAGTACAGCTTAGCAAAAGCAGCACAGTAGTGACATCCCCAAATCTCATGAGACTAGCAGTCGGGGGCACAGTGCCTTAGATGATCTCACACTAAGGTTATAGACCCACGAGGCTCATGGCACAGTAGTACACGGCTATTTTTCAGGAGGAATTCAAGACAAAACGTAGATTTTATCACATTTAGCATTTTTATATGGTCCCTTGAACATGGCAAATCTACACTTTTTGAGCTCAGGTCCAGTTAAAGCTGAACTGTGGCAGTGAATGACTACAGCAAGTGATTTTATGAACACCGTATAGGGTTTCACTTTTCATGTTCTTGAAGTAAACAAGGTAAATGAATACGGTCTGGCTTCCAATCACTTATTGTCATGCCATTTCCCTTATAGGACTCTGAAGAGGTATTTCCATCCAAGACAGTGACTACAGAAGCAGAAATTCCAAGAGGTTCCTCAGTTGTGACCACAGTCATGTCTTCTGCTGTAAAGGATGAAGATGAGGAAGAGGAAGGGGAGAGGATCATGGCAGAACTTCAGGTAATGCTCCAACAACTTTTTTAAAGCAATAATTAAAGGTTTCCTCCACGGAATACTGAGTGAAGAATTCATGATCCCCTCATAATGATAATAACCATTTTATGTTTGAAATATATTCAGCAAACACATTTCAAGCAAAGCCCCCGGACTATGGAAATCTCAGGACTCAATGGACAGAAATAAAAATAATTTTACAGAAAAAAGAGCCCCCTTATGTGTATTATAACTGTTATTTAACATGGAGCATGGAGTTCCGCTTGAAGGTCTTGCTAGGGTGGGTGAGGTACGTTACACGGAAGACCATTGTAGAATAGAATTATATACAGATAATGTCTGAGACTGACACACTTTAAACAAATTGACAAATAAGACATTTCAAAAGAAGAACTTTTTTAATAAGACGAACACATTAGGGCCATATTCTGAAAGGTATTACCACTGCGCCAAGGGCTTGCTTAGCATTTATATCTCTTAGTCCATCAAACGGGGTGGTTTATTTGCAGGCAATCTATGAATAAGCAGCATCCTAAGTGAGATTGCTAGCCTGCAGAAAGAAAAAAAACAGCTGTCCATTATATATAACATTTTCCATCTTTTAGGCTTTCCAGAAGTGTTCCATAGTGGAAATTAATTCAAAGGTGCAGTATGAGCCCCATAAAACAGAGACACACGAGAGAGATTTCAAACCGCCAGGTTTAGCTCTGCACAAGGAGAAGAAGGTAATTCAGTGTGTAAGGCTGTATCTTAACCTTCTTGGCTCCTACTAACCAATCCAGTATTCCTAAACTACTCATATTAACACTCAGTAATCTGTATAGGCCAGCTACTCTGAATGATGCATTTCTTTGCAATTACACCTTCTCCTTAAGTGCCAATACAAGAGGCAGACGGTTGTTCGATGTTTAGTCCACATTTCTGAGCAATTTACCCTTCCAGGAGACATGTTCTTCTATCTAGTCCTATGAAAAATCAGCACAAATTTGAAAGTGGTCTTAACAACGTTTGTCCAGTTACACCATCTTCTGATCTTTGAACACACACATCGAAAATCCTCTGAAACAAATTGAAATTGGCTACATCGAACAATATCTGCCCGTGACTCTCAGCAGGTGCCGCCATACTGCTATACATGCTTGCTATTATTCTAGCTGCAGTAATAAAAACATTTTTCAGTAGTTGAATCTCTGTAGCTGTACTTGTGTTTTATAATGCTTTTTATCTACCTGCCTCCCCTGCTTGCTTGTTTATTTTCAACTTCATTGCATGTTTATGTCTATGAAATTATTTTCTTTTTTTTAATTTCAGGCTGAAATGTTTGGAAAGAATCAAGTCATTTTTGTTTTACTGTTGTATTTTGTTTTTAAACATAAATTATTAATTTATTATGTGGACATTGCTGTTTGTACAACACAGCAGGGGCATGTTGTACTTTGGTATTCAAGAGAAGTCAGGTCATGGGGGGTGGTGGTAAAGGATCATTGTAAATTGAGCGGGGTGGCTGTGTGGTACATCCAACAGTGACATATTCATAAACATATGTATTCTATTTCTGTTTGCATTTGCAGCCTCTGTGCCTGGAGACTTGTACGTGACCACACCGCGGTGATGTTATATCACTTCCTGTCCCTGTGATAGCAGGACACAAAATGAGGATAGCGATGGTCATTGGCACAGGAAGTCACAGACAATAACAACCTAAGAGAGATTCTCACCCCTCCCCATTTTACTGAAAAATGTGCTTTGTTGCTGTCTGTATCCCCAATGGAGGGATATTTCATCACCTCTTTTCATATGGGGAAACAGACCCCAATAAAAACCAGATAGGAGTTAGGATTTGTTAGTGCTTAGAGCTTTAACAAGAAAATGAACATTTAAATTTACGCTGTAATATTTTCCCATAGGTGTCATGCACTGTCAGTTCAAAAGAATTTTTAAGGCCCGAAAGCCCAAAACATGTTGAAAGCACAGAGAACAAGTGGAGATTTCACTCTGTACAAAGTTCTGCACCTGATTCTGCTAAGCATAGGCAGGAGGACAAAGTTGTAGTTACCGAGCAGTCTACATACAATCTGTTCATAGGTAGGGACGAACATAAAAACAAGGAAGAAGAAAAAGAACCCAAAGGCGAAGAACACACCACTATACATAGTCATCCTAAAAACCAGGTTATAAACCAGTTGACCTCTCCTGTAGTTCCAGAAGTGGGTAATGGAAGAATAGAACACAAGACAGAGTCTTCAAGGTCAACAATTGTTAAGGTTTCTAATGTAGAAAAAGTTGTAGAGAACCAGGATCCTAGCAAAGCTTTCCAGGAACAAGGAATGCCTTATTTAGACTTAGGTCAGACAGTTGTACTACGACAGAAGACATCAAGGAGGATCGCCAATCAACCTTCTGAGGACACAGATTCTCCTGCAATATCCCCGACATCACCAAATGAACCAAAGTCTCCAGCAGATAACATTGCCTTTATGATAACGAATACAGAACTTCAGGTCTTGTCTTCAGGGGAGGTCCAAGATCTTGTAAACCGAAAGGGAGGCGAGATCCAGACGGTCAACGTTGATCATGAGAATGTAGAGAAGGTTAACTTGCATAATACTACAAATGCTGGATCGGAAGATTCCGTTATGTGTACAGATAAGAAGCCAGTCATTATTATATTCGATGAGCCAATGGATATTAGGTCTGCTTATAAAAGGCTTTCAACCATATTTGAAGAATGTGATGATGATTTAGAAAAAATTATGACAACTGCAAAGATTGAAGAGGAAGAAGAAGAGGAGGAGGAGGAATCCAATGCACCTGCAGCACAGCACAAGGTCGACTTGGCTAAAACAGTAGCAGAAAGTATCAAGGTACAGAGCAGATACAGATTTAACTATCCTTCTCTAGCAGAAATGAAACAGTCTATGTTCCAGGATGGGGTGCCCTCTCAGACATTAGTCACTGACGAAGACCGGTCTGATGTCTCTGATTATCAGTTTGGTCAGAGGCAAGATGTGAAGAAGAAATTCAAGTTTAAATTCCCCAAAAAGCAGCTGGCAGCTTTGACCCAAGCCATTCGTACGGGGACGAAAACTGGCAAAAAGACTTTGCAGGTGGTCGTATACGAGGATGAAGAAGAACCTGACGGAACATTAAAGCAACACAAAGAAGCAAAAAGGTTTGAAATAGTAAGATCCAAGAGCAAAGAGGAAAATACAAACCCGGCCCTTGAAAAGCTAGAGGTCCACGGTCTTGCAGAGTCCGATCAAGTGTCCAGGACAGATGAAATCAGGCAAAATACTTACAGAACTTTAGACAGTCTTGAGCAAACCATCAAGCAGCTGGAAAGCACAATAAGTGAAATGACGCCACGACCAGGGTCTGATATTATTGAAATAAGAGAAGACACCAAAACCTTGTCCCAAACTCCTGTCCTGGCTAAAGAACCTGTGCTGGTGGAGGATACAAAACTTGTTATAGAGTCTCCATCATCCCTACCTATTTCAGCGCGTAAGGTATCTGTGCATAAAAAGCCAAAGTCTTGAGTGTGTCCCAGCGGTGCCTAATCATTTGACTGCTATTCTGGTGGTTGGCTTTTCCCGTAGGTGCCTAACAAACTTTTGAGTTAATATGTTTGATTACTTGGTGATGGGCAAAAGAGCAAAAACTGCTCGCCTCAACTTGTTTTTGTTTTCCTCCTAAGAATCATTTACATTTTTTTTTACAGTAACCTCTGCATGGCTAAAGATTCGTTTGATTATGGTGGAGCATGTCGTATGAACTCTCAGTGAAGTCACTTCTCTTGTATAATTCATGTGTTATCTCTGTCTCTTTCTCCCATTGGCTGTTCCTGTAGGGTTCAAACGGAGCTCCACAAACCAGCCGAATGCCAATACCAATGTCTTCTAAAAGTAGACAAGGAACCCCGGAAAAAACTAGCAAACAGCCAAAGCTTCAGGAGCCACAGCGACAGTACAGACAGGTAGTTTTACCTTAGAGCAAAACTTTGAAAGAAGGACAAGCCAAGTAATTGACTAAATGTAGCCAAAATAAAGGATGTTGTAACTTTCACGCTTGTTTTTAGTTAAAATACCTGGATCTGGTGGCATGAAAAAAATCCTATAGTATTTTTTTTTTTTTGCCTCCCTCTCGCCATCTCTGCATGCCTGCAATAAAACACCCTCCTGCTTTGTTCCACTTCAAGACGCACAACTGAGATGAAGTGAACGCGGATTACTGTAGGAATGCGCGGGTAGACATCAGAGCGCACTTGACGACGCCGAGCACTAACATTTTTATGTTCAATGCACTCCATTAACAGCTTGCTATTTCACTCCCATTCTAATTACACGGCATGACCCATGCAGCGCACCGTCTGTGCTCTAAGTGACTGTTACCGCACGCCTCTCCACCTCTCCCGTTCTATAAACCTTTCTGTGCTCTGTGGATTCTGCCAGGTCCAGTGAACTTCAGCAAACACTTTTAACTATTTGGGGGTTTGTCACCTGTGCCCGTGTTGGTGTATTCATTGTTCAACGTTTTGACCGACTTGTCTTCCTGCCATCTTTATTTGCAGGCTAACGGAGGTGCTAAGAAAGCTGGTGGGGATGTTAAGGCTGCTTCCCCTACTTTATCTGCTTCTAAGATTCCAGCTCTTTCCCCTAACAGTGGAAAAAGCAGCTCTGTTCCTGCTCAATGTAATGACACCCCTAACTCCCATAACCCCCCGGTGAAGTCTCACATCCCAGTAACCAGCTCTAACACTCAGTCCAGTCGTGCTATTAACTCTTCTTCCCTCCTCCGTGCTGTGCATAACGGCACTTCAAAGCTGCAGAGCCCTTCTTACACAGGTAAAGGTCACCATCTCTCATTTTCACCGCAGAATGCCAACGGCAGGCCATCTCCTGCTGCTACTGCTGCTGCTTCCTCCTCCTCTGCTACTTCTCCCTCTACTTCTGTCTCTCCCACTTCAATGACTCAAGGTATGAAGAGCATCCGTACCATTCACACGCCTAGCTTCACCAGCTACAAGTCACAGAACGGAATAGCCAGCAAGATCATCACTCCCAAGGAGGCCTCATAACTCGTGCTAACCCACCACTGTCACTGGATGTGCCACGGTTCCTACCTTCTTCAGTCTCTCATGACTTACTGTTCCTGCCTTTGTACATAACAGGCCTAGCAATTCTCGTTGACCTTGTTGCTGTTGTAATTATAACATTGCCCTTGTTTTATTGGTCTTTAAGGCCGATTTATATGATGTGGGATAAGGAAAGTGTGTTTGCCAGTATCAGTCATTTTGGTTGGACAATGGGAGCACCCAATCAAAATCACGTTCCCATTTTCCAACCTGAAGTAACGGCATCTCGAGTCTGATTGGTTCCAAGTGGCAACAAATGATTCTTTCCTCTACTTAAGCGCTTACAAATCGGCCTTCTTGTTTTTATGTAAAAAAAAAAAGTCACTGTGTGCGTGTGATTGTATATATTCTAATACTGTAAGTTCGCATGTGTGTGTAAACTAGGAAGGCTGGGAAAAAAATTAAAACTAAAAGGAAGTTAGCGTGGATGCGGAATATTTTGTATAGACTATTTTTCATTATGGAACCTGCCAGAGATAAAAAATCTAGCACAAAGTTTTATTCTTTATTTTCCATCATGCTGGCTTTGACTACAGATTTCTATTTTTGTCAACTAAGACATCTTTGTTGCTTTTTATTTTTTTGCCAAGATATTTTCGTACAAAGCTAACGTGTCTTAAGGCTCCGGCTGGGTCACTCAATAATGGGTGGAGCTGATGAGGGAATCTTTTATCAAAAATATGTTGCATTTAAATGGAATTTACAGGAAAACCAATAACCCTTTGGGTCTCCCCGGTGCAGTAATACAGTGGTTCTGTATGTGAAGGGAGGTGGGAACCCCTTCATGTAATATACAGAGGGGACCCCAGTCAAATAGAGAATTCCCTCTTTTCATGCCAATAGCTATTGAGCTGAAGAACAGCTTCATAAAAATGTTTTTAACACATTTGTCACTTAACTTATTACATATATATTTTTATTGGTCGGATGGATGGTGGCTTCTGTTGGATATAGATTCTTAGTGGTCAGAACATTGCCGCACAGAGCACAGTTCCCCAGTCAAGTGTACCTGTCAGGCTGAATAAGACTGAATAAGACTGGAAAAAGCCACTAAAGCTGCAGAAGGTTGTTTTTTTTTTAAATGTTAATATACCTAAAAGGTAAAAAGCCTTTAAAAAAAGAACAAGAACCAGAATACATTAACTTCTTACCCATAGCCGCTGTCTATGCTTTTAGACATTTAAGAAATAGTGCATTAAAAAAAAAAAAGCTCTATTTTTCATTCTAACTTAATGGGCAAAAACTTGCAGCTCTGAAAATACATTTCTCCTATGTAACCTGCTGAGTCCTGTTAAGTGCAATGGGGTTGCTATAAGACTGCCTGGGAATAATATATATATAAATAAATAAATAT